AAAGTCTTAGGCTAAAATCAACGGTACTTTTTACAATCTATTTTCTGGTTATCATAGAAAAAAATTTTGATCAGTACTACAGCATTAGTGAGAAATTATGTATTCCATAGTGTAGAGAAAATTAACCCTAACAATAAAATACATTTTTTAAATTTATAAATTAAGATACTACCCAAGTAGTCATTATCTTAGCGAATAACTAACGATAAGTGATAAAAATTGGCAATCAGCAATAACAAATTCAAGATTTGAGACGAAGAATAAAAATAAATAACTATTATTAGGTGTGAGTTATTTTGAGTAACTATTTTTTATTTTTTTCATAAATGACATCTTGGAAAGACAAAAAAATCTTTGAACTGATAATTATAATGAATTAAAACTAATTAGAATTTATGGATAATAATATTTATCATCAGTTTTTAATTATTAAACCATTTTTAAGTTGATAGTAAAAATTTCCTTCAAGCATTATTAGTTGTTTGAAAAAAAAATTTTTTTGTTATTTAATTACGGAACAATTGTTATTAATACCACATTTTTCAATTAAATTTTTACGTAGGTAAAATGAAATTACAACTCATACTAACTTGAAAAAATGAATATTATCAGTCTCAGAACTGGACCTCATAATTTGTTAGTATTACATTGTTTGTTGCCCTTTTTTTATAAACAATTGAATAAATGTGAAAATTTTTGCTTGGATGTAAAAAAATTTTTAATCTGGGCATTTACAAACCTAGTGATAACTATTATCCGAAATTCTATAAAACACTGATAGTTTACTTGTAAAAAGCAAGAGTTTTCATATATACTACTTACTTACATTAAACTTGCTTGAAATTATCATTAAAATTATCAAAACCTTACAATCTAAAAAAAAGTTCTTTTAATACCTCACCAGTACTTATGCTATGATATTTTTAATAATCATCCAGGCATCATTTTAGCATAATTTTTCAATTAATAATTGAAGTTTTATGTAACTTGTTCCTGGGTAGGTAGAATTCTAATAGTTACGTATATATATACTTGCGTATACGTACGCATAAGTACAAATTCTGACTTTTATTTTGTTTGACGAATATGTAATCCGTTAAAGCACTTAGCTTAGTATTTTCAGTACTTCGAAAGTATTATTGTAAAATCAGTTAAGTATCAAAAAAATTATCGTATCATTATTTTGTATGATTCTTATGAGTTTTATAACAAGTAGGTAATAAAAACTCTTGATGAAAGTCACATAAAAATGAGGAATTTTTTTCATGCTTCTCGTATTATTAGCAGCAGGATACTTTGATCGTAATACAGCACTCGTAGCTACTTTCCGTTTTTTTACGTCAACTTATAAAAATATATGCTTCAAAGGTATGAATAAGAGCACAGTATAAGGAGGGATAGTTTTTCGAATACTGAGAGCATTCTGAATGTCGGGGTCACGAAGTATTGATCCGGCTCAACATGTTTGACGTTAGCCGGGTATATTGCTCGGATAACTTGCTATATATTTGTAAATGCATTTACACTCGTGCGCACATACACACACAGAAAATATAAGTAAATGGCTAAGACCATAATATTTTGTATTAAAATTTTATGGTTATTATATTTGGCTTGGCCACATATAACATATAATACAATAACTTTGTTTGTATACATTTATTTACGTGAAAAATACAATGAGAACTTTTATTGTAAATAACTGCACAGAGTACTAAACTGAAATATTGTTGGAGTAATACTTACTTAAAATATAAAAGTTAAAAAATAATGTAAAACGCTGAAATTTAAGACGAAAGAATTTTTTTTTTATACTTTAAAAATAAAAAATGTGTTTGTTAAAAAAATTAGTACCTGAAATAGGTGGTGGTTCTACAAGTGCAGCTGGACCGAAAAATGATGGAAGATCTCCACTTGTGGTTACTGGTGTATTTAGATCACCTGGTTTATCTTTTTCATCTATAACATTCACAACATTTTTATATTCAACACAATCTTTTTTAATGCTTTCACATGTTGAACGTTGCAATCGACGTTTTCTAATATTGGTATGAGAATCATCTGATATTGAAGGATTTTCTAAGCCCATTCGTTTTCTTAGTTCTTGATTTTGAGAATTATTATTTGTTTGCCGCTGTTCTGATTGATCTACACATTGCTGTGAAACAGGTGACGTAGTTAGACTTAGCGTAGGAATAGACTTTGAGCTTATTGATGTCAATGTAGATGTGGCCATTGTAGCTGGTACTGACGCTACAGCAGATATGGATGTAGCGGGAGATATTCCAGAAATAAAATTAATGTTACTTATACAGCCAGTGTTATTAGATGTACAGGCTGTTGAACTGTTATATGTTAAACAGGCGTCAAAGCTAAGTTGAACTGTTTGCAAATTAAAAGTAGCATGATGGTGGCCTAGAGGCGATGATGATAACATGAAAGGACTAGTCGCTGCTGTGTGGGCTTGAGAGTTCATTACTTCCATACTATCCATGGTCATTCTTTTTTAAAAATATATCACTTCACAATACTGCTTCTACTTTAATGAATCTTGAGATAACTCCCATTTCTATGAATTGCACCTATTAAATTTTTAGTGATTCTTCATAGATATTTATTTTTAAAATAATTAACTCTTGGATATTAATAGCAAAGCTGTACAAACACGTATAAAATTTGTCTTAGAGTAGTGGGCGATGGTTTAAGTTTATAATAAAGAACAAATTGAACACGATCATAAAAAATTAAGTTAAAAAAAATTGTAATACGAAAACAATAAAAACCACACTTTTAAAACTTATCCAACAATATCTTCATTTCACTTTGACAAATGTATGTTGCATGTATGACTAAGATGCTATGAGTACCAATAACATTGGATGCGTGGGGGTTGCACACAGACTGAACTCAACAGCGGCGCGCCCCGTAGTTTTATGAATGGACCGCAGAGACTGTCCCATATTTGGAAACGCTGAGCAGCTGCTAGCCAATCCCTGCTCTTTGTATCAATCCGCGCACGCATATATGCATGTGTGAGTATCTCTGTACATGCAAGTAAGTTCTCTCTTATCTTCTCTCTTTTTCTTCTTGTCTCTTCGTTTCTGACAACGTCCACTCCCCCTCTCTTCTCAAAGCTTTCTTACTTCTTCTCAGCAGCTTACTCCCACTTATTTTACGTATCAAGAAGGGTTTCCTTTTTTACTCTCTCTTTTCCATTTCCAACTGGATACCCACCAGTCTTGCTTTATAATATCTGCTGTAGCCGGTTCTCCAGTGACGTTAACGATCATGACGTAGACAGTGGATCAATAAATGATCAATTCCCTGTACGCACCTTATAAAATAGACTTATTTTTTAAAGAATAAGTTAATAAATCTAAAAATAAACCTTCCATTTTAAAAAAATTTTTAATATTTATGGAACGAACGTCTTTACGAGCTTTGCTTACAACGGTGTAGAATTAAAAACCATCTTTTCTGAAGATTTTCAAAAAGTAGTGTAATGTTAGGCTAATTTTATTAATTACAATTTTTTTACAAAGAAAGATCAATGGTTTTGAAAGAAAAAAATACATTCGAACTTGTATTAATGTTTTTAATATCTCATGATTCTTCCAACTGCGGAACGATAAAGTTTCAACTCCTAACTAAGGTTTTTAAAGAAAGCAAAAAATTTATGCTTGTATTATAAAATTCCTCAAAAAAATTCCCATAACTGTAAAAACAAACAATCAACATAAGCAACAAAAGCTTATACAATTCTAAAAAGGTTAGTTTCTTAAAAAGTGTAAGCTTCTCTGAAATATTAATAGAAAAAACATAATCATAACTATTAGTTGGCCTGCAGATCCTAAGCTGATTGTAAATGTGAAAAGCAGGCACCACATACTACTCGACTCTTTACGAAGCTTACAGGGGTAAATGACCTAATTACTGCCGACTAAAATTTTCGACTGTTCTAAATTATTTATTCCACTTTGTTTTTCGATGTTGATTAAAACTCTACAAACATACTGCCTTTAACAAAAGAAAAGATTAGGTAAGTTTGACATGTTACAATTAGTTACGTAGACATCTTATTCTAATTAATTGTAATTAATAATAAATTAATTGTAATTTTACGTATAGTAAGAATTGGAAAAAAGGTGTTATCATGATTGTTGATTAAATTGTGCATTTTTACTTTCTGCACTTACGGTGACTTTTATTAAAAAACTACTATCATTATCATTTTTCATGATATAAAATACATCATTAAATTAATTGCAAATCGCTTACTTATTTAAAATTTTAAATCACGATGTTCTTTTTTTAAAATTGTATACAAGAGCTTTTCTTAATAACTGTAATAACACAACAAAAAACAAAAACAGTTTTAAATGATACAACTTCTGACTTGCAAAGTCATGGGATAAATGAAAAGTCAAGTGTTTTGTATTTTATAGTGAGATGTAACATAAAAAAACTTTAAGAAAAACTTCAACTTCTCCAACATATTGATTATACCATAACTGTACTTTTTAAACTAATCCTCACTTTTGCAAGGAGTGATGATTGATATAAACATATGAAATTGCTATTGTATTATTATGATGAGATTTAATGGAACTTACGAGTTGGAATAAGTAGTCAGATAACTCTAACACAATTATTATAATCTTTATTCTATAAATATTATACCTATTTTAACAAAGCTAGTTATAAATTATAACTATTTTTAAAGTCGGAATTGATGTTTAATGCGGTAGCTTTTTTATATATACTGATGATATAACTTGCCAGGCTCTATTAATTTTGTATATCTAATTCTCAATTTTGTACGCTAGGAGTTCACTAAATTTTGTACATAAATCGCTACGGCAATCGTTTCTCTCTCAAAGCCACGTTAAATTAGATCGAGCAACACACTCGTTATTAAATCTTTACATTTTTATAGACATCCTGAATACTGTATACTTTTATTTTAATACGAGTTATAAGTAAAGTATTAATTACACATTTTAAATGTTTTAGTAATGTGAGCTATGAATTAAATAAAACTGTTGGTGGTCTTCTTCACTTGGACTTATTCGCTTCGTGCAGAAATTTTAAACACCACCTGCAGGGGAAAAGATGTCGATGCGAACTAACAAGAATACACAGCATCAGATAAAAAATGATAGCTTACAAGTGTTTATTTCAACAATAATAAATATTTAACAACTAAACTAAGTTTTTTTAGTCCCAAGTAGTTTATTAATAGCAAATAATACTTTTTCTTTAATTTTATGAAAAAAAAGTAAATTTCTATTATGAAGTGGATATAATGCATAATATAGCATAAAAAATATAACTTTTTAATGTGCTGATTTAAAAGTACTTCCAGAAATAAATTGATATTCGAGAAAAATCGCAATACTTACTAAAAAAATACAACTATGAAAGGAAAAAAAAATTTTTGATGCTAAACATCTTATGGCGGGCAGTGAACAGCCGCGTGAGGAGAATATGCAACGAAAAGTCTGGTCCGCTCCTCAGTTGCTGTTCAACCTAGTACTGGGACTCGCTCTCTCTCTCTCTATATATATATGTAGATACATGCAGTAGAACTTGTAAATCTATATATATATTATATACGTGCACGTGGTACTGTACCACAGGTATGTTGTCGTGTGTATATAGCTTTTTGTTGTAAAGTACGAATATTGGTGTATTATCCGTCTCATTGCTATACAGAAGTGTACGTGTACATGTATAAGTAAACATTATATATGTACTGTATATAATCAATGCCTCGTACGAAGTCTATCCTTATTCAGATTTTCCAATGTTAATTTAAATGAGAAAATGTGAATAAGGATAGACTTCGTACGAGGAATTATATAGCATATACATGACACATGTAAAAATAAATTATATATAGTGTGTGTATGTTATACATAATATATGTGTATGTATTATACATAATATATATGTAAATAAAATTTTTCAAATTTTACTGACTCCGAGAACTGAACCCACATTCTTCGGATTGGTAGTTGGGGACCTTATCGATTGTGCTACGCAGCACGCTGATCTGTTCTCTATATTCTTAGAACCTTAAGGATACCAACTGAGAAACTTCTGAATTAAAAAATTGAACGATAATTGGGCGTTTTTCATATTACATGTAATTTAGCCCGCTAATATAGAATTAAACAGTTATAATTATTTTTAAGCAGTCTGATAATGTATAAATCGTGTTTTAAAGTTCGTTTTCTGATATCTTGTAACGGTTTGATACACAGAAAAAATAAAAATACCAGCGTGTAGGGTGAAAAATTTTCTATCAAGAAATACTTTTAATTTTGTTTCGACGAGCGCAAAATGTTGAGAAAAATAACTTCCAAGATAAAAAAGGCATTTTGGCAGTACCTGTAGGAGAGTAAGTGAAATATAGACAGCCATTGGTCGTCAGCTTTGCTGTCACGCTCGCTCTCTTTTTGTTGTACTCATACAGGTTAGCCTTTTTTATTGATTTTCTTAATATTTTGCGCTTGTAGAAAATGATGAATTAATATTAGAATAAGTATTACTTTTTCATTATTTTTTACAAATTTCTTCTTTGTGGATTATTTTAAAATATAAATATTTGACCATAATGCAAAGTTTTCCCCGGGTCTTCCAATTGTGTTTATTCAAACCCCATCTTAACTTGTCTTTAGTAAAGAGCCAACGAAATTTGCGCACGTGCGCAACTACGCACAGATATCCGAAAAGAGCTAGAGAGACACAGAATGTAATATACACGAAGGTATTGTTAAACATGTACATACCTACGTGTAAATAGGTAGTAAGTATAGATACTCTTCGCCGCGTACTATTGTTCTTTCTCGTTCTCGTTGTTTACTTCTTAAGGAAAAAAAAAATATAAACATAATTCAATATTTGCTTTTCCCTTGTCTATAATACTCACTGATAAAAATACATATTCGTCCATTCGTAAGGTCTTCGCAGGTCCTTCAGGCTGAAAAATAGCCCAAGAGACAATGGCATTTATCCGACGAACACAACTATTTTCATCATAAAGAATCAAATACCACCGAGTTCAATAACATTTTCTTTGATGTTTCACATCTGTCGGGGGTCCCAAGACCCACACCTGGTTTTTTTTTCATTAAGGTACTATATTAAATCGGTATTTCTCTGCTTAAAAGTATACTTAACACCCAAAAAAATTACGTTTGTTGTTAAATATACATTACGGTTGAAATAAGCGCTTGTAACAGATTATTGTCCATAAGATTCTGTGTATTCTTGTTAGTTAGCATTGAGTGGCATTGACAATTTTCCCCTGCATTTGGCGTTGTTTCAAATTGCTGCACGAAACGAATTAATAGTTCTATATGCACTGGGAAAAGTGATGTAAAAAAAGTAATATAACTATACTAAAAATTACTATATTTTTTAGGAAAGCTGAGACATACCCACCTCGTGACGCAAGTTATAACATTTATAGTATTTTTTATAATATTTTAAATAATTATTATTATGTAGAATCCCTACAAAAATTATAACACAGAATAATAAAAATTACTATGTCTAACATAGTAAAAATCGTGATAGTATAATTATTAGTATTATACAACATAGTAAATTTTATTGTAATCATTATATAATGTACAACATTTTAAAGGAGAATTTACTGTGTTACATGGTATTCAGTATAGTAAAAATTACTATGTTAAAAGTAGTTCTATACAACATTTTTATCGCTTGGATAAGATGGTAGATCACCTATCAACCCTATTGAGTTTCATATTTGGGATTATACTTACGTAAATATTACGAAAAACATGTATACTGTTTGATTTACAAGGGTTAAAAATTTATGAGTACATATACTTTTAAAAGGACTAATTATCCGT